AGCAAGGTCTGATGGGATTGTACTGGCTGTGCCTGAAGTGATAACCAGGGTGAGATGTTTGGGGGGAAACTGAAAACTTTAAAAATTGAATAACAAAAGGTGGGAAGAAACTAATGACACTCGTTGGAAAGTTTATTCATGGACTTCAAATAAAATTTCAAGGCCTTGTTTACTGCAAGCAAAGGGATGATGTAGTAAATGTTATATAAAGAGAAAAATTAATAACAGTAAAATAAAAATTTAAGAAACCTAGATGTAATGAGACATGGAGAGCTGGATGAGAGTGTTTGCTGTGAGTGTAGTTAGGACTGTAAAGGACAGAGGACTGTAGTGAAGGAGAATCACATTTTGAAGAGATATTGGATATAATCTTGGTAACACGGGTAGAAAATATGCAATATTTCCCCAAAAGATTATAGCATCAACCAAGGAAATCTAGGAGGAAAAATTTTAAAGCAACATGAGTGTTAAAAAGTACTTCGTGAGTTTTATTTTAATGTGTGACAAGTTTAAATGTAACTTCTCTATAGCTATGATAGAAATTAGTATAGGAGTCTTAAATGATACAGTCTAGGGGTCTGGATCAGTTTGGTGTTTTGCCAGTTGAAGAATTTAAAGGCAGAAATAATCTGAAGAGCAATAGGCAGCAGCAGCAGAGAAATCACAAGTACAGCAGACAGAATGGGTAGTTGAAGAGGGTGAGGAAAAATACACATGCAGCAGACAGAAAACAAGACTCAGAAGCCAGAAACCCAGCCTTGTCTCCAGAGCTGGGGGTTTTAAAGTCTCTGAAGAGATTCCCTTCCCTACTTTAGGGTTGGTCAGTTTGAAGACAGAGTGGTTGATTGGTCCACAATTCTTGTGACCATGTCCTGATCCACCCTTGAGCTTGTTGAGACAGTCCATCAGCAGGGGACCTGCTGATGTGAGACAAAAGCTGTCAGGCTTATGTCTCATGTCAGGAGGTTGAGGAAGAAGGTGGCCATGTTGGAAATTCGCCAGCATTGTTGCCTAGCCATGGCCTCTCTCCCTATCTGTCGGTCTAACAGGAATCTGTGTAACCCTTGTCTGTCCCTTAACATCAAGTACACAGCCTTATAAAACCAATGAGAGGGAACAGCTATGGCCCACCCCACCCAGAGCAAAAATGCTCTCAGGAAAATACATTTTAGACAAATTGTGAAATAATCATCACCAGGAAAACCTGCTATATTAGAAAGAAAAACACATCTTCAGAAGAAACGGGTAGGCTTTCAGGTGGGCTATCACAGATTTGAGATGAGAGAAAGAAAACAAAGACAGTAAAATTGAGAGCAAGTCTAAAGTGGAAAGGTAAAAATGGCAACGTTATAATGGTGGTTAATGTTTTATACGTCGTCTGTATAGATTTGATACGTCATATGTAGGAGAGGTTTTAATGACAAAGGGGAAAATGGTGTGATGCTACAAATCTCCGCCCTGAGGTCTAGCTCTCACTGTTGAAAGGTCCTCCTAGGCAAGCTGCCAGGGGGAAAAAACAACCAATAGTCATTCCGAGCTCTAAAGCCTATTAATTGAAACAATGACAGCCCTGGTAGGAAATCACCAATAGTGCAACAGGGGCACTACTGTCTTGGGGGTAACCAACATCTGTTTAATTGGACTTAAGACCCACTCAATAGGAGGGGATTCATGATGGTTCTGTCAACCTAGCCCCACTACCTGGCTAAAGAGGGTATTTAAGGAGTATTTAAAAATGTCCTAGCATAATCTTTGGTCATGTTTCTGGATGTGATATGTCCTGAATCATGAAAAATGTTTTACAAGTAAACATAATTGTCTCAATATGAAAACCCTCCTTAAATCACATAGTTGTACAACACACAGCACAAGAAACAAATGTAGGCTGACTTATGATGTAAAAATCTGTTTCCAGTCTGTGTCCCAAATGGTCCCTCAACCTAGAAGTGCTGGCTTTCCTAAACTGATCCCCTGAGGAAAGCTGTGTAATCCCCACAATTTCATTAAACTGATTAGTTATGGCACAGAATTGACTTTCAACCATGAGTCCACATTGCCCTGGCCTGCAGGACACAGGTGGCCCACTGTGATGTTGTCCCTCCCAAAGGCTCTCCAGCCTCTCTTTGTCTAGCATGCAACCCCTTGCCAAGACACTGGGAAAGCACACCAGTTCTTGCTTTCTGCAGACTTTGAGAACAAAGCATTGCTTATCTACCCCCAAATTCTACTCCATATATCAGAAAGACTTTTGTTCTTTTTGTTGTTGTTATTGTTCTAAAACGTTTTCCCTGAAAAAAAAATCTCTTTCTAAATAATTATCCATCTCAGTTTTCACTGATGCCCCAAAAAAGGAAAAAATAAAGTCAGCAACTGTATGTGCATTTCAAAGTAAGAATCATGCTTGTTATTTAAGACTTACTGAGGAAGCGAACAAGCATCCATTCTGTGAGAATGTACAGAAAGAAACTGTGTTTGAGAAAAGTAGAGGGGAGAATGTCCTAGCAGGAGTATGATGTGTTGAACATTATTGTAGTTCCTGCCCCTGGCTTTATCACACACTCCTCACTTGATACCCATATATAGGAGATTCATAAATGTCATTCAAAACAAACAAACAGAAAACCCAAACAACAACAACACTCCTTCGAAGTCTGAGGCAGTGGACATCTTGTAAACTCTAATACCAAATTGCCAACCCATTTTCTGTATCACAGAGCCCATGCATAACTACAGAAATAACAACCGACCCAAGGGGGAAACAACTTGATAGTTGAGCTTACCAGCACAGAGTAAGATGCAATAAATACTGGTCTAAAAGCACAGAAAGTAATGCTATCCCTGCCTAGAGAACTCTATGAAAACTAGTGGGAAGAAAGGTTGCCAAAGGGCAATGGGAGATGAACTGAGATAACCAACAAACTGGCTTCTGTTCTGGACAGCAGCCATGGACGTGCTGGATGATAAAAGCAGACAGCATGGTTGGATAACAGCAGGGCTTGAGTGCTGAAATACATTGGAAGCTTAGCTGTCAAAGGACATGATCAAAGATGAGGACCAGAGCAAATGACATGAATTCAATGGCTTTTTACTCCATCCAAATATCTACAGTGGGACCGCATGAGTGGAATTTTCGGCCTTCTGAATGGCTTAAAGGGGAAGGGATCGCTAAATGCGGCCCTGAGAATGCCGACCGATAGTAAGATGTACAGTATGCATTAAACAATATGCCTCATTAGATATTCAAATGGGAGTATTTTGTTTCTTCAAGGGGTATTATCTTTATAGTATGAAAAAGCTATAAAGATGTGGACTTTTTCTGCAAGTTTAATTCAGTTACTGCCAGATTGAACTTCCTAGGTAGACAATTTCTAAATATGCTAAAAACTGAAAAATCTTACTTCTTAACCACAGAAGAAATTTACATTGGATATATGATATTTTTCTACTTCCTTACAATTATAAGAAAAAACTCAAACTCCCCTTTATGACTAGAAAATACCTTCAATTGTTTCAAAGGATCCAAATCTATGATCACTTAATTTTCCTTAAAAACAAATCTGGAGTGTGTGGAGATTTCCTGGAGTTTGTCCTTGGGGAACCTCTGCAATCACCACTTTCACAGATGCTGACATGCTGTCACCTCTGAAAGAAATCCTTCATCTATGATCAGGTGCCTCCCATCTCAGTGTGATCTTAAGCAGGAACACAGGGCACACCAGGAGTGTCTCAGCCGAACTGAACACAGAAGAAGGGACAACTTCAAAGATGTCACGGTGTCCTCAAAGCAGGCGGTCAGCTGAAGGACAAGGAGTTATATCTTCAGTGATTCCTTCCCTTCCTGATTTTGGGAGAGAGAAATCCAGCTGTTTCTCACTCATGTCGTCCATTGCCAACAGGCAGATTTCAAAGATGCCTAAGAGATGCTGGCATCGTATTTCACAGTGTGCTTTGTTCACAGGATCTTCTTGACATTTTGAAACTTGAAATTTCAGGACTTGTCACTTTTCCTTTGAAGTTTTTTTTTTTTTTTTTTTTTTTAATGAAGTTACAGATATCAGTCATCAATGCAAGGTCTTTGAGAAAGGTATCAAGTCACCAGTTTTAGTAAGATAACTAAAGACTCCTGAACTGGAGAGGGTGGGAACAGCTTTCCCAAGGAATCTCCTCTTTGCTCTGCTTGCTCCTCTGTGCCATTCCTCCTGATGAACATGAATCCCAGGCCTTTCAGTGTGCATCCAAGCCAGCAGATGAACCTATTGTTCACAGCGCATATGCTTTTTGGTACTCTTCTAAAACATGAAAATGCATCATAAACAATTATAGGTCTGTTTCACTAATTTAATGAGACCCTAATCCAAGGCCAAGGATATAACACTGTCTACTGCATAGCCACAAAAAGACAATATTTAGAACAAAATAATCTATTTGCAAAGGCTATATAAAATTCAAGACACACTTCTTACTGAAATGAGATCAGAGGAAAGTTACAAGCAGTAAAGGGTTGTATTTTGCTAGTTCCCTGTAGTTCTTTGACACACTCTTGCTGCTGAAACACGTATCATATATAACTTCAGTATGCAGTAAGTGCATTCATAAAAATTTAGTGAAAGCCAAGGCTGCTCTCAGTAGCATTCTGTTTCCAGATTTGTAGAAATCCCACTCATTTACTTGTGATAAGCCCAATTTGTCAAATGTTTCCAAATGATATTAGTAGCTACAAGGGTTAGCATTTCTTTTTTTTTAAACAGCTATTCCTATAGGTCAGGTCAAAATACACGGCCTAAAATAACCCAAACATGCTATAGAGCTAAGTCTGTGAGTTAGGTACAGTGAGTATTATTTGCTAAAGACAATGGACTCCAGGTTTAATTCATGATGTCATCTAATCATGGTCTCCTCTTGTTGATGCTACAAGATATTTGCATATAGTCTCCTTATAATCAAACTAATATCAAAAAGGAGAGTTTCACTAGGGTTCCCACCACACAAACCAGACTCAAATGTATACTTTTTGCTTGGCTAACTCCCCTTGGGGTATATGTTTAGGTTCAATTCTCATATCAATATGATGTACCAGGCATTGAGCTACACACTTTCACACATGTTATATCAATTAATTTTTAAATGGTTAAAAAAAAAAAACATAAAATCTTCCATAGTGTTTTTAAAAGGGAATTTGCTGGGATGTTTGAGGCCACCAAACCCTGATTTAGGTTGCATGGGGTGTGAATCACTGTATTACACAGACTCTTCTCAGAAAGATTTTGGCCCCTTTCTCTGAATAGATGGAGTTGCCATGCTTCTGGAAACAAAGTGAGTATGTTTTTACGTCCATCATGTGTTCACTGTACTTAACATTATTATGATGTAATGGGTATTTGTTTTACTTGCCCACAGCCTGTGGCCCTGGCGTCTGTGTAGTATTGCTATACACTATTCTAGATGCTTCTGTGGTTCCTTTAGGGTGGTGAAAAGGGCACATTATTGACATCACTGTTCCACTTTGATCTGTATCACTGAACTTTTGCTGGATCTTACATGCTTTCCTGTCATACAACTAGGGACTGTGCATACCACCTCAATGGTACACAGTGGAGTAAATGTCTATTCCTTACACCAGGGATTTTAGGACAAGCTAGGAATGCCCACAAATGTCCACAGATGAGAAGGCTGTCATTTTAGCATTCTCCACGTTAATGCTGTTTAGGTATGTCAAAGCACAACTTGATGGGAGCCCTGCTTCTGGGTGTCTCTAGGACTTACTGATTGCCATCTCTCACTCCCTCTTCATCTGTAGAACAATTAACTATGAATGCACAGCTTGGAAAACCAAAGGTCTCATTTGGGGGGTGTTGACCCACTTCCTCTAACATCAGAATTCCATTTTTCAGCTCTCCTTTGTAGCCAAACTTCATGGGAGCATATTCCTATGTCCATCATATTTCTCCAATACTCATCCACACTTCAATTCACTCCAAACTGACTTTTGCCTTCAACATATTTTTGTCAACACAGAAACCACTATTTGTTGTTGGTTGTTTTTTACTCTTTGGCTCTTTGAGGGGCTTACCACCTAGTTCCCAAATAAATCACATGGAGTCTTATTCTTTCTAATGAAATATCCAGCCTTAAATTGGCTTATTTCTTGCCAGCTTTTCTTAAATTATCCCATTTACTTTTTCCCTCTGGGCTTTTATCTTTATTCTATATACCTTTCTTTACTTGTTACACCTTGTTGTTGGGTGGTTGGCCCCTGGAGTCTTCCTTCTTCTCTCACGCCTAGATCTTTTTTCCCCAGATTTCTCCTCCTTTTTATTTGCTCTACCCGCCAGCCCCACCCATCCTTTCACCTGCCTAGCTGCTGGCCATTCAGCTTTTTATTAGACCATTAGGTGTCTTAGACAGGCACAGTAACACAGCTTCACACAGTTAAACGAATGCAACATCAAAGAATTCAACCCACCTTTGCATCATTAAACAAATGTTCCAAAGCATAACAAGTGTAGCACACCTTAAAATAATATTCCACACCACCTATTGTCAGCATTCACCACTTTCCCCAGTCCAGTTAGAGGATTTACTCTGTCATCCCAACTCCCAGCACAGTCCCACATGACACAGTGCTCTCACAATGCTGTACATCAACTTTGACAAACCTCACCGGCCCTGCTGGTGCTGCTTTTGTCCACGTCTAGCTTTTTGTTGGTCTGCACTTTAAAATCTGGGGGTCAGAAATACTAGATCCTTGACTTATTTCTCTGTGTTTTGTCTGAATCATCAATATTATCTATAAAAATCAATGTCATTTTCCCATCCCAAATAGAAATACTACTTGTTAAGTAGGAGGCTCAAGCCAGAAGAGTAATGTTTAGAGAGTTTTACTCACTGTCAGTAAAGTATAATCAGTAGAGAAATGTTCTGCTTTATCTTAGTGATAAGAGACGTAGCATCTATGGTCCTACTACTGGAAAAATAGTGAGCACATGCATGAGGTCAGTGTGGGGACAGACATGTGACAACTGGTACCACCTTCAGCAAAAGGAAAGGAGGCTATCCACTGAAGTAATCTAGAAATGGACCAGGCACCTATCATACGCCAAAATGGCTCTTTAAATAATTCAGAGGAAGGCTAGTGTAGTTCTGCTATATAGTATCAAATTTTAAACAGGATCTACTTTTTGTCCTATCAGTTCCATGTCAAACAATTTTCCTACAAATGCAATCAAAAATACACATATAATAACTGTGAAAATATTTATTTTAATTAAGTCCTTTGGGCATGGGTGTACTACTCACATGTGCATGTATGTTCCAATTAAGTGTATAAAAGCGATACGTATAAAAATAAAACTGGAAATAGAAACCATGTAGAGTAAAATATCAAAAGCAGTGATGTCTGCATAGTGAATCTTCTGTAACATTTGTTTGTGTGTTTCTCTACACTAAAACAATTCAATAATTACGAACTACAATAGCAGCTACAGAATTGAATGGCATGTATGAAAAAGTTGTCTAAATCTTCCAAAAGTGTTTTCTTCACTGAGGAAAGAGAAGGCAGCTGTTCTTGCCATTCCAGGCACTGCTGCTAAAAGACACTTCACTCACAATCACTCTCTTGCTTCCCTGTAAATTAAACCCTAGACATTGATGTACACCCTCAATATATGTAATGGTTTATTATATAAATTCCTAAGAAGTTAAAGCTATCTTTGCTTTATCTCTCCTCTGCTTGCAAACATGTAACAGTGTTTTTTATTAGAAATGATCAAATATCAGGTTAGTGGTATTATCATATTAGCCTATTAATATCACTAGCATATTAATTTTATTACACAAATATCACTGTAAATATTAAATTAGCACTACCCCAATATCAACATAGTAAAAAGTGCTCTTCTTATTATAAATAATAGCATGTTATTAACCTGGCATTTCATTTACCTTGACTCTTATTGAAAGATCATTTGCATCATAGCTTTGATAGTTGTGATGATGATGGACAACAATAATAGAACATCCGAGCATGAACTATGTGTCAAGCTCAGTCCTAGGCTGATTAAATGAAAAAAAAAAGGTCTCTGATAATGCTGCCAACACTAGTTCAAAAATAACTCCAACATTAGTTACAAATTATGCAGGGCCCATACTTTAAAAAAAAAAAAAAAAAAGCTATTACTAGGAATCAAATCAAGATCAGCACAATTCCTCCAAACTCCAAACTCCATCAACACTACCAGTCTCCATGCTTTGTATAATTAATATGTGTAAATAAAACCTTGAAATAAAAGATTTAGAAGCTATTCAACAGAAGGCCTCCCCTTCTCATGATTCTGCTTTCTTCAATCAGTCTGTGGTCACTCTTTGTTTCTTTTGTTTGTTCCATAAATGCATTTAGGAAGTTAACTGGCATCCATCACACCAGACAGAGCAGAATCGATGTTGTTTAACAAGTGAAATTCAAGGTAAGCTGAGAGGATAGCTTTCTAATTTTAAATTTACACAAGTCTGAACTTTGAAGCAGGCTAGCCGTGTCAGTTGGCAGCATTTGCCTGAAGATCATTTCATCTCATCTCTAATTAACTGATTAGATACATTGCCACTTAGCACACTCATGGGGAAAGTGAGATGCCTTGGAGTAAAAGCCAGGTATTCACTGGATGGAAAAAGATACATTTGGAGATTAAAGCTAATCTTTTAAAATGTTGACATTTTGACATTCTCAAGACCTGCAGAAGAATTTTACTTCATAAGCTACAGAAAGAGTCAGTTGTTCTGAGGTACTGTTGTGGCTTTTGTTAGAATTTTAAAACTCATTGTCGGGTACAATTTCAGTTGGATGTGGACTACCAAAATAATAGTGTTCTTCCTCTAACAATTTAAATTTATAAAAATACATTCCAAAGTAGTGAAGTTATCACCTCAAATGTTCACACCTAGCCACATTAGCTTCACCTGGAAGGTTGTATCACACTATTTCCTCTAAAACTCATGTATCTAAACAAAAAATCGAGACTTATTTATGCAAGATATAAGTAACGATCGTTTATATAATTATTAAGTTGTTCTAAGAAAAAATTTAAAGTTGTAAACTCAAAATTCCCACAGTTAACAATATGATATCAATGCACTCTGATTAATACCTTTACAATTCTTTTATTACAGATAAAACACTACAACTGTGTGTCACAGATATTATACAGGTCTTCAGTTTTTTAAGTTTGTGCATTATACAGTAAATACACAGAGGTATCTTTTACATTGTAGACTTCATTTTTATGTTTGCAAATAAAATTAGTTAATTCTACTAGATAATTTTAAAATATTAAAATTGGCCCATGTGCATATACTTTTAAGCAAAAAGAAATGAATAAATCAGTATCTTAAATTATTAACCCATGAAAAACAATGCAAAGGTCTGTCCATTTGTCATTGAGAAATCAAGCTGGATCTAATCTAGAAGTTTCCTCCCTGCTGACCAGCATTCACAGTATTTGCAAGTGCTATGCAAGCTACTTTGGGAGAAAAGTCATCAGTGGTCTTACCCAGTTGTGGACCTCATGAGCTACAGCTGTGGTCTGATTGGCACGCTATGCCCACTGACACAATAGTGGAATAGCTGTTGTGGGGGTAACCATTCTCCTTATTATTGAATTTGAGGCCCACTCCTTAGCGTATACTACAAACCTGGTCAGAACCTATGACTGAGTGAATCACAGGCCTAAGGGGAGAACTTACTATTGTTTTTGGTAAATGGACATAATGTCAAACTGCCTTCTGAAGTCTTCTGTTTACACCAACAGATTCATGCTATTCTCAACCTCCATCAGAGAAGCCCCTTTGTGCTGGGGTGGTGGTTAATACAGAGA